TTAAACTGTATTAATCAGAGTATCCTGAAAAAAAAAACTGCATCACAGTTTCCCTTCAAGGTGAAGCATAATGAGAGACACTGCCTGTGTTTAGAAATCAAGGGGTATTAATGTAGAAACACTGTTGTCACCATTAAAAGCTTGACTTTATATAGTTGTCATTAGTTTTATAGTGTATACAGTAGTTAGGCTATAGTTATTCTGAAAATAACTATTTATAATACAGCTGATAATTAATATGATGGTTCATTATTTATATATATTTTAAATATATTTTTTATAAAATAAAAATCTTAAAAATAAATATTACTATTATTCTGTTATTCTTTTTACTATAATTTTTTTCATTGTATTATACCTCTTTAGAGCGCAGAAGATCTTTATTATCTAATCTTAACTTCAAAGGTTTGCAAACTTGTGGCTTACTCAGGGCTTTCTGTGAACTCAGTGGTTTTTCTGAAGAAACATAATCTAGAAGCAGTGTTAGTCTCACAAACCCACTGCCGGTACCATCAGTCCAGTACACTTAGTCATGTCATGACACTGAGTCACTATGTCAGTGTTTGTGGTGGAGCACAAGGACGACGCTCATAAGTCGTTGTAGTTTGTAAAATGCGATCGGAGAGTCCTGCAGTGCGTTTCTCTCACAGATCAGAAAAGGCTTCACGCGCTGTGTTTGTGTGGGGATGAGTGAGAGTGTGACACTTTCTGTTGGTGGATCACCCCGCTGTGCCCATTAACAACCTGCTGGAGAGAGACCAGAGTTCCCAGCATCCTCCTCTCCAAGGCATTTCATCACACTGCCCTCCTGCTATGGCGTGATGTGTACAATTGTGGTTTCTCTCCAGCTCACCATGTGTTTTAAACAATGACCTCACTTATCAGAAGTTGATCCACCAAGGTTCTATTGCATCAGAATTGTTGATGGTATCTTGTGTTGTGTTATGTTTTGGAGTGCCTGTTGTTGCCCAATATATTTGTTTTTTGTTTATTGTTTTTAAATTGTCCCCTTCTTTAGTTTTCCTGTTATTTTATTGTATATACTTTACTATATTTATTTTGGTACTAAAATATGCCATTTCAGCACTATAAAATTCAGGATTATAATATGCCAGTAGTGTATAATTATAGTATTATTAAATATACCATGCCCATAATTTTTTATTAAAGAGATTACATTTTAGACCTATTTCAAATTTGCCTTTTATAGCAAAGATCCTTGAGAAAAATTTACTACTGCAGTTACAGAGCTTCCTAGATCCGAATAGTATCCTTGATAAATTCCAGTCTGGTTTTAGGACTAACCACAGTACTGAATCTGCACTATTAAGAGTATCGAATGATCTTTTGCTATCTGTCGACTCCGGGTCATTTTTGGTGCTTTTAGACTTGAGTGCAGCATTTGATACTGTTGATCATGGCATTCTATTGTCATGTCTTGAACAGTGTGTGGGCATCCATGAACATGCCTTTAGTTGGTTTAAAAAATATTTTCTTACAGACAGAACCTTTTCAGTTGGCATTGGCGGCTCTGTCTCATCTGTAGCTCCTATTACCTGTGGCGTTCCCCAAGGTTCCATTTTGGCCCCAACTCTGTTTGATTCTTAGGAGGCATGCAGTGTCTTTTCACTTGTATGCAGATGACACTCAAATCTATATGCCTTTGAAACATACTGACAGGAAAGGTTTAGAAACCTTTGCTTGCTTGTCTAAACAATATAAGATCCTGGATGTCCTCAAATTCTTACACCTTAATGAGAGTAAAACGGAAGCAATTGTGTTTGGGCCCTCTGTGGTTAATAAAGAAACAAACTACTGTTAATGTTGCCAATCTGCACTCCTATATCAAAACGACTGAACGCTGGAATATCCAAGTCTTCTATTACAAGGCTTCAGATGGTTCGAAACAATGCAGCCTGATTTTTAACTGGAGTCCACAAACGTGAACACATTACTCCTATTTTAATGGCTCTTAACTGATTGCCGGTGAGCCATAGAGTTGATTTCAAAATACTGTTGTTCGTTTTTAAATCTCTAAATGGACTTGCATAGTTGTCTGAACTGGCATGAAATTTGAACATGCCAGGTAGGTGTCTATTGTCCACAAACAGTTACAGTCTGGCCCAGCCTCAAACACGGTTGAAGTTGAGAGGGGATTGTGCATTTGCAGTTGTCAGACCTAGGCTCTGGAATAGCCTCCCCTTATCTCTGAGATCCCTGTCCTCTGTACATGAGTTTAAATCTAAGTTAAATTGTTATCTTCTTGCCCAGGCATTTAACAAATCTTAATTATGTTTTTATTTCATTATGTGTTCCTGGGTTTTTTTCTTTCTTTATCATGTATCTTAGTCTTATACTCTCAACTCTTATTGTGTTTATTTGTGCTGTATAAATAAATGAAATTAAATTAATTTGAACTTTTAAAACAACTTTATTACCCAGTGGGATGTATTTTGTGTTAAAATTGTAATTAATAATTTTTTGATTAACAAATATTGAAATTGATTATGATTATTTCACTCTTCAGGTTATTGTTGTTTTTAAAGGTGTCATATGATGCTTTTTTAAAGATCATTATTTTGTGTATTTAGTGTAACTGTTCTGTTGTTAGGGTCAAGCGATTAGTCAACAGAAGAGACAGACGGCTACACGTGAGTGTCCTGCGTAATACTTGTTTATAGATCTGGTGTTGGAATTATTACTTGCTGCTAGGAAGGAATATTTCGTTTTCTGCCTATTTCTACGTTATATTTTTGTTTGCGTTTGTATTTTTGATTGCACTTTCTGGTAATTATAATAATTGCCCTCGGCTAAGAAGGAGCATAGTGACCTAGATATGTGGGGGCGTGTTAAAACGACCCGTTTTAGGGGGGCATGGCAGAGTCTTAACTTTGATAAAGAATATCTCTTTGGTTTTGAGACTTTAGTCTTTGCAAATTCAGGGATCTTATGTATGCACAATCAGCTTGTAACACTCCAAAGAGAAAGGAAAACTTGAAATCGCATCATATGACCCCTTTAAAATAATAATATTTGAATGATGGGTTTTTATTGTTTCTTCATTATAATCTCCTCTGTGTGAATATAGATAAATGGACATTTTTTCCTCTGAAAATGCTGTTTTCTTGATCATTGAAATCAGAAACCTGGAATAACTTTCTCATGCCTGTTTTCATGGTTTTGGCTCTAAAGATGAAAGCAAATGTAAAAAGGGTCCTCCCAGGACAGTAAAGAAAAAAAGGAAAGAAATCTCCTTTGTGATGAGTTCCATTGGTTTTGGTTTCTTTTATTGAGGTTTGTATTCATTTTGGGTTTCCGATACATGTCAATATCCAGTGAGCTGTCCGTTTATGCACACATGCATAATGCATGGCTCTATTTGCTGCCCTCATGGCTTTGACTGCAGGTGATCGAAATGTGTGTGAAGAGAAAGGAGACCTGTGACATTTCCAGCAGTTGGGAGGAAACAGCTCTGTCAATATGATTGACACACAGTGTGTCTGTGTGTGTGTGTCTGTGTCTGTGTGTACCTGTGTGTGTGCGCAAGTGATGAATTGCAGTCTATCCAAAGCTTACCATCACTCATATTCAACAGCTTCTGTTCATTCAGTGTTTCCTCAAGGATGAATGGATGAAACTCTTCAAACTCAAACACTTTCAAGCTCTAGGGTGTTGGGAGGTCTCTCTTGGTTTAGTTGCTTACACTTTGAGATGAAGTTATACATGCATTCACTCACAGTCTCAATGGACAGTACTAAAGGATTTTCAAGTATGTAAGAGGGAGAGTGTTTGATTTTATTTTAGATATACCTTGCATCTCTGTCAGGGCACATTGTGGAACTTTTGATACTTGTTTTGATTAATAAATAAGAGTTTGGTTTTACTTTCTGCAATGGCTTAAATGTATCCATAGTGATCTCAGAAATGTATTGTATGGCTTGTCTGACTAAACATGTTTTACAGAATGACATCTGTCCCTGCTATTAGGAAACTGCCCCCTGTGGTGTTCGTAAGGGGATCTCGATGCAATGTGAAATTTACAATGTGACATTTAAAGGTCATTGTGGGGTGAATAGTTGGATTTCTTGAAGTCTTTGCACCGTTGTTTTACTATAATTATGGTCTCAATTATTTTGAGTCCTTTGCTGTTATTTTTGTACATTTAGTAATGAATATGTGTTTGAAACATTGTAGGATAAATGTGGTTTAAAAAGTTTGAACATGTAATCGGTAGAAAAAATATACATTCAAAGAGCTAAAGATTATGTAAGACTGAAAGATTATCGTACAAAATTTGAGGACTGCAAGATATTTTTTAATGTTTCATATTAGCACAAGTCACATGATCACCAAGGCTGCAGTAATATTGTGAAATTGTATTACAGTTTAAAATATTTCAAAATGTATTCCTGTGAAGGTAAAGCTGAATTTTCAGCAACATTACTCCAGTCTTCAGTGTCACATGATCCTTCATAAATCATTCTAATTTATGCTGATTTAGTGCTCAAGAAACATTTCTTATTGTTAACGTTCTTATATGTTGGAAACAGTGCTGTTTAATATTTTCTTATTTTTTATTATCTTTGATATTCTTTGAAACATAAGAACTGCATTTATTTGAAATAGTAGTCTTTTGTAACATTGTAAATATCTTTCCTGTGATCACTTGCATTTTTTTTGCTAAATAATAGTAAAAAAATTTTTTAAAAGACCCCAATCTTTGGGAATGTAGTGTGAATGATACCATAACGGTCACAAAGTGAAGATCTGTTATCCTTTGCAACTTAGTAGATCAACCCAAGACCTCGTATGGCGTATCTCATCTCTCAGTCAGTAGGCAGTGAATGGGGCAGCAAAAATCTGAACGAGTGTTTCCTGTCAGTTGTCCTTGGCGTGGTTACCTGAGTGTGGGCCTTCACGCTGGGCAATGGGGGCAAACAGATGCCCGACTGGCACCCTCTCTCTCTCTCCCTCCCTCATTTTTACTCCCTCTCTTCCAGGCTCTCTGGTGGGTGTGGGTGATGTCATCTCCCAGCAGCTGATTGAGCGCCGTGGACTGGCCAATCACAGTGTGAGACGCACCACCAAGATGATGAGCATTGGCTTCTTCTTTGTCGTAAGTCTCCTGTGATTCTGTTCCATTTGCATATGTGTTTCTCTTGAGATCCTCCAGCTTTGTTACTTCGCACTGATGTAATTTAAATATAGAAGCAAGAGAGTTAAAACTGAGCTTTGAAACTCTTCCCTTCTTCATGTCCTCAGTTGTTATAAAATTGTGATTCTTTTTATGTTTTGTTTTTGTTACATTCTTTCCAAAAAAAAAAAGAACACCGCTTTCAATGGAGATTGGAGAAAGATACTTTTTGGCCCAGAATGGTCTTATTACATGCATTTTCGAACCAGAGTTATCTGACATATACTATTGTTAAAAAGTTTGAGTTTGGTAAGATTTGTTAATGTTTTTGAGAGAAGCCTCTTATGCTTACGAAGGCTGCACTTCTTTGATCAAAAATGCAGTAAATACTGCTACATTTTATTACAATTTAAAATAACTCCTTTATATCTTAATATATTTTAAAAGGTATTTGTTCTGTGATGGCAAAGCTGAATGTTCAGCATCATTACTCCAGTCCTCAGTGTCATATGATCCTTCAGAAATCATTTTGATATGCTAATTTGGTGCTCAAATATTTTATTATTAACAAATGTTGAATTCATTTTCCAGGGTGATGAATAGAAAGCTCAAAAGAACAGCATTTATTTGAAATATGAATCTTTTTGTAAATTATAAATGTCTTTTCGGTCCTGAATTTTGATTTATTTTTATCTTGTTTTGTTTTTGGTGGTATTGTGGTGTACACCACAATATTTATTTTTGCATAATAAATTTTGAATGATGGCATGACAATGTAAAAAATGTAAACTACAAAAACCTTGCAAACATGGTAAAATCCTGAGATTTTTTTCGTTCTATTCTATTCTATTCTTATTGCTATTTCAACCTTTTTTTTGCAGTTGAAATCAGATTAGATTTTACCAACTCCCCATGTTAACAAGCAAACCCTTGGCACTTTGCTTTAAATTAGATAATAATACAACTTCAAAAAGGCAAAAAAAAAAAAATCTTGCTAAATGTCAGTGACCTCAAATGTTTACAGGTCTGTTGTTTTATGACCATTACAGATAATATTTGTAGGGGTGTCATTTGTTGGAACAGGTAATGAAGTTGCAGAGCAGAGTGATTGATATATTAAGCATCCTGCCCTTCCCTTCCTCCCTCACACACGCATACAAAGCACTAATGCACTAGTTCTGTCCAAATGACTTGAGGTCTAATCTGCAAATGGCCTGTATGATTCAAAGCTTTTACAAGCCTGAGCACACTCGATTCAGCCTTTTAATCATCAGACCGTAGTTGTTGTTATTAGTGCAGTAAAATCTGTTTCACTGCTGTTAGAACAAAAGACTGAACCACAGGTCAGAACTTCAGGTGAAATTCGTCTTGCATCTCCTGAAATTAAATCTTTGAAAGATTTTCTGTCCATTGAGCTATAATTATATTGCATTTCTGACATTCTGTTGGCAGTTTAGGGTTATAGGCTGTGTTCTTATTGCCCAATCAACCAAATTAAGCAGAAGCTCAGTATTAATCATTTTATGTGTCATATGGCATCCGTTGTTTTGCTAAAAGGACGGGAAAGAATGCAGAAATACAATATAGAGCTGCTATATATTCACTGTACATAGAAAAATGGCAAACGTCTTCTCAAACAAGTGCACAGCTGTTTGTTAAAGACGCCCATATGCATAATTTGCCATTTGTGGGTGATTTTACACTGATGCTGCTAAACTGCAAATTATAATTGCATTAAAAGAGAGATTTAGCAAAGAATTCAGTTGTCATTGTTGACTAAAACACCCCCGGGAGACTTTGTTTGACACATTTATTGATCAGTTTGCTAATAAGGCCCAGACTGAAACTACACTGGGAAACAAAAAGAAAGCCCATTAATTCACAGAGGATTGGAGCTAATTACAGCCTGCTGTTTTCATAATCACGTCATGAACAAATGAAACCACTGGCACGGCCTCAAGATTCTGAGCTTGTGTTTATGATTGTTTACTGAAGTGTTTAAAATGCTACACATATGTGAGATGCGTTTAATTAAGTTTTCTGTGACTTGAAGGGTCCAGTAGTCGGTGGATGGTATAAGGTGCTGGACAAACTTGTTACTGGTGGTACTAAAAGTGCAGCTTTGAAGAAAATGCTTGTTGACCAGGTGAGCCACGTGCAATGTATTGCAGTAATTGTTTTGTGTGTGTGTGTGTGTGTGTGTGTGTGTGTGAACTACATGGTATTCATTTATTCATAATTAGTACATATTTGTGTATTGCAAGACAAAACATTGAGATCAATTCAAATGTATTATATATACACAATCCCTAAAAGAATACATTATTCTTATATATATATATATATATATATAAGAATAATGCAACATTATGAAAAATATGACTTTTAAATACTTCTGCCATGACATCGCTGAGGCTCATTCAGATGATTTGAGTTCAAATCTGGCCTGTGTTATTTTCTCATGCTGTTCTCCCTCTTCACCCCATCATTTCCTCTCTTCTCCACACTACAGTATTAATAAAATAATACAAAACACCAAAAATAAAGTCAGACCTCAACATTCGGTATATTACAAAATATCTTTACTTATAAATACACGCATGGAAAGTTTTCCTTAGAACTGACTTTCGTGTCTTTGTTGGGAGTATGCAGACACATGTAAAGTGCTTATGAGCTTCTATTTATTGCTGTTGCTACGTGCTTTATCCCTTTTGGGTATCCCATCTGAGCTCTCCCTTCATGCATGTCAAGTAATCCATCCTCTGATAGGCAGTCAAACAAATGAGTGTTTGCATAAGTCATTGTTTACATGATTGGTGGAATGAATGTACAGGATGGAGCGGACAAAGGCATGCAAGACAGGCCCTCTCCCCATCACCAGATTACACCCAAACAACAGCGCTTACAACGCCAGCCTGCTCTCACACATTTATTCAGTAAAGAGATTCTAGGGCTATTTTTAGAGACCCACTTTCTAAATTTCTAAAAGCCTGTACGGCCAGCGAGAAGTTGTGTGTTTGGTTGCTTTCATCTGTAGATATAAAATGTTGTTTATTGAGAGGCTTACAAAGGCTGATTAAACCTTAAAGATGCATGATTTATTCATAATAGTTTTATTAAGAAAGCATGATTTATTCATAATATTTTACAAAAAAGACAAAGATTCCCACAGTCAAGTTGCAGGTACTGTCATCATGTCCACAGCTTTATTTAACTCCTTATTACTTCTTTACATGCATTCTCAAGGTTTTGCTCAGTAACTTACACTGTCTCTTAATTTTTTTCTAAAATGAAAATAAATTTAAAAATATATTTTTTACAATGGGTTTGTTACACGTTACATGCTATACTTGCTATAGTAATTACAATAAATTATGCATAATTACATGTAACTAACCCTAAATTACAACCTCATCCTAACTCTAACCATGGAGTAAGTACATGTAGTTAATTAATATTACTCAGTACTTAAATGTATAAGTACACTCTAACAAAGGGGCTGTTTTCAGTCTGTGCTTGACAGATTTTTTTATTGGTTTCTGTAACAAATCTATTTGGGATTAAACCACACAGGAATGTGCTAATAATAAATGGATGCATCAGTCTCTCATTGTGTCCTTGATAGCTTTCAACATGTGCTATGCATATTTCATCAGATGTGAAAATGTGAGGCAGTAGTCTATAAATGAACAATTAGACTGGATTAGATGTATAATGGTATTTATTATGAACATTAAACTTGATTAATCATGTACATTTATGTGTCATCTAAAAATGAATGTGAAGGTTTCTATAAAGTAGATTAGATAAGTGTTCTAATCAGATATTTGTATATCCACAGGTGGGCTTTGCTCCGTGTTTCTTGGGTGCTTTTCTGGGAATTTCCGGAGCACTCAATGGACTGACTGTGGAAGAGAATGTAGCCAAACTCAAGAGGGTCAGTTGTCATCACAAACCTGAATTAAATACAAGCATCGTGACAACATGAAGGACTAGTTTTAAAATGCAAAAAAATGAGCGTTTTTCACAGAACCTGAAACGGAAATGTTTTTGGACACACTGAGATGAAAACCAAAAATGAAAATGCTAATTTAGATTTGTATTGGAATAACTGAAATTATATTAATATTATTATATTAATTATTTTTTATTATATTAACTATTATTACATTTTTTTCTAAATATAGAATAATCAATATAATAATTAATTAATACAAATATAGTATAACATATAAAATAAAATATTGTGTACCATCAGTAGTCCTGAAAGTCCACTCTCACACCAGCTTTCGGTCTTGTGACCCTTATATTGGCCCCCCCTCCATAATTAGGAGGATATTTCTGCTGATGGAGGGCCGCAAGGAGTGACTCATGGGCTTGTAGGAACAACGGTTGACGCAGCATTGTCTCTTTGAGTGGTGCCATTAATTATTTATGTAGGAAAGGTGTCGAAGTTAAAATGAGGCTGAAAGGTCAGTCACCTAAATGTCAGAAAAGACGGAAAGCTAATGATAAATGCGCTCATTAACCCAAACAAAAAAAATGCGATCTGAAAGCCAATCACTAAAAACACCTTTAGTGATGCTACTCTGTGACTCGTCTTAAAGAATACCACTCTGATCCATTAAAACATGTTTTGTACCTGTTGGTTATTAGTAGGGCTGTTTTTGCTTTAAACTGGTCCTCCAGTGCTGATTAAAGTGGTCATATGATGTTGCTAAAAAGAACATTATTTTGTGTATTTGGTGTAATGAAATGCGTTTGTGGTTTAAGGTTAAAAAAACACATTATTTTCCACATACTGGTCATTATTGTTTCTCCTCTATGCCCCGCCTTTCTGAAACGTGTCGATTTTTACAAAGCTCATCGTTCTGAAAAGCGATGTGTGCTCTGATTGGCCAGCTATCCAGTGCATTGTGATTGGCCGAATACCTCAAGCGTGTGATGGAAAGGTTACGCCCCTTACCATACTGTGATGCCGTGTCCCGGAGCGACGAGACAAAACCAATAAAACCCATTATAAACGAGGCATTTGTTGCATCCAGTGGTGACATAATTACGGATTATAATGACTTATACTGTCTTTTTATGCGTTGAGTTGCATCGCGCCGCGTAAACATAAAACCATGTCTGCAATTTTGATCTGAGAAATTACAAACAATAAGCGCTAATCTATACTGCTCAAAACTCGCGTTTGAATCATCAGTGGCAAATCCTTTAAATATGAAAACTTACTTGCAGACTGTGAGTCAGGACAGCCGGCATTGTGGTCTACTCTACCAGGATCAGGAAACAGTCCTCCATAAAATGTGCTGCACACATCTGAATATTTGGGTTGTACTGTTCTGGAACGATGTTGGAAATACAACTTAACCACTGATTTCTAGTCGTGTCCTCTTTTGGAAGGCCAAACTAAATATTTTGGCTTTTGCAACGAAACACACAGCATCTCCACGACATGGCGGCGGCAACAATACTACAGCGAGAATCAACGTTACGCCTTCTTTCTTTGCGTGAACATTTAGGCGGTGTTATGCAAATCTTCCCACATCATGACGTAGACATGTGGGGGCGTGTTTAAACGAGGCGTTTTAGGAGGGTGTGGACCAGTCTTAACTTTTATAAAGAATATCTCTTTGGGTTTGAGACTTCAGTCTTTGCAACTTTAAGGATCTTATCTATTCACGAACAGCTTGTAACACTCCAAAGAGAAAGAAAAACTTAATCGCATCATATGACCCCTTTAAAACTCATGGCTTGTTGTGGACAGTGTCCACCTTTGCTTCTAATGACTATAGGTCAGGCAATTGGGTGGAACAAGAGTGACAGGTCACTCAGATCACAGTTCGGATGCTACTTGCAGTAGTGCCCTTTAAAACAGAACTAAATGACACTCTGATGCTGGAATGGCAGCTTTTTGGTGCTCATTAGTCGGTAGCTTAGTGGTTAAGACTCTGGTGGAGTAATGGAAAGGTCATGGGCTTGTTCTCAGGTTGGAATGGCCTGTGAATTGGACAGTTCATGTGTGAACTGGTATTCTGATTGTGTCTAGGCACTTAACTCAGACGGTGTCTCTAGGGAAACTGCTTCGCTTAGTGAACTGAATGTCGCTTTAGATCAAATGCACCTGCTAAATGAAAAGAAACCTTAACCTCATCTGGATTTTTCATTGGATGATGCCATTATCCAATGATCAGTGTAATATATTTTTCTTTCCTTTTTTTATTATTTTATTTCTTTTGTTTTTGTTTTTTTGCTTCTCTTCTCCTTTCTTTTTGTTTCTTTTCTTTTTTCCTTTTTTCATTTTGTTTCTTTTTATTCTTTCTTTGTTTTTTCAGTTTCTTTCTTTTTCTTTTCTTTTTACATCAATTTTTCTTGTTCTTTTGTTTGCTTTTTTATTTTCTCTTCTTTTTGTTTCTTTTCTCTTCCTTTCTTTTTTCTTTTTATTCATTTTCTTTATTTCTGATTCTTTCTTTTCTTTTCTTTTCACCTCTATTTTTTTCTGTTCACATTTTTCTTTCATTCGTTCTTTCTTTCTGTTCACGTTTTTCTTTCATTCATTCTTTCTTTCTGTTCCCATTTTTTCATTTCTTTCTTTCATTCATTCTTTCTTTCATCTGTTCATTCTTTCTTAATTCATTCCTTCCATCCTTCCTTCCAAACTTTCAATTTTCCAAACTTCCAACCAGGAGTTCTTGGAAATATTTTGGAGTTAAACAGTTAAACATTTAGCTATAAAGCTGAAATTCTAAAATTATGAACTGAATAAAAAAATATTTTTGTCCTGTCTACACATAATGTATTCTAATAAACAGATCATCAAAAACAAATAATTTTCAATGTGATCATGTTTTTTTAGGGTGAAGTGTGTAATTTCTGTGCCAGTAGTGGCACCAAATTGAACTGCAAAAAATAAAAATAAAAATATGTACACACATCCGTAAGGAGAGAAAATGAAATGTTAGTCATTTAATATAATTAAATTATTATTATTTAACTTACATATTACATATAAAATACATTATATTTCATAAAAATACACAGCAAATCTGCATTAATTCAACACAACTTTACCTACACTTTATACAAGTGTACACAACTGGCTAAGACGTACAATCACTAAAACCATTTATGTTGCCTGCATAGTCTGTGGAGTCAGGTTAAATGCCATCTCCCCACTGACTACTTTATCCTACTCTAACAAAAAACAAAGTGCAGCAACATCATCATCGGATGTTAGACTAGAGAGTCGCCCCACTGTTGATATTTTGGATAGAAAGGTTAAGTGCACATTAGCTTGCAGAAAAAGATTAGAACCAGCAACTCACATGCAAATTATTGTTCTCATCATGAGCTGTTTGACGCTTTATAACCTGGTTCTACAACAGAGTAGGGATGCGCCGATCCGATATTCATATCGGGTATCGGCTCTGATAGTGCCATTTTTCTCGGATCGGGTATCGATCAGAGAGAGCCGATCCAAACCCGATAATTTTATTTTTTTTTTTTTTCTCTCTCCGATTGTTCGAATTATTCTGTGTTACTTCTGAAGCCATACCATAGCTTAATGTGAGCTACATGTGAATATTTAAGTCCTTACATTAAAGTTCACACGAACTCTTTTCTCCGCTGTGGCTGTCAGTCATTTGTTCAGCCTTTAAACCCTGCTCGCGTTCGGTTACAGCAGTAGCTCGGTAAAGCTCTCTCCAAGATCATTCTGTGTTCCCATTATACTTGATTTGTAAATACAAGTCTATGATTTTGCAAAAAGGACTTTATCTTCTTGCCGGAGTTTAATATTTTGTTACTTGCTACCGGGTGTCTGTGAGAACAGAACAGGGGTGTAGAAAAGACTATAAATAGTTTTTAACGTGCACAGTAACTGAAATTTAAAACTGTTAAAAGACAGGCTCAATAACTGTTGCACAGATATAATACACTACGCATCAGTTTCTCTTCCCTTTGTGCTTTGCAGTTTTTAACACGAAGCGCTT